GAACATTGTGATCTTCAAAAGAATTATATACACAGTGTTTGTATATTTACTTGTAAGTGCTCTTTGACAGGTTTTTCAGTTTGCAATGTGTTTATGCAATCAATTGATATCCCTTTTTCCTTGGAAAGGGACTACATAATCTAAATTTGCAACTTACACATAATGGTGCGATTGGATATCCAAATGTATATTCACCGCCTCGATATCAATTCTGGTGAATGGTTCTCCTACGGAGATCTTTCAAATGAATAGAGATCTCCGTCAAGGTTGCTCACTATCACCCCTGTTATTCAATCTCATGTTATCCAGAGCAGTGGAGGTGGGGTTATTCAGAGGTTTCCATATTGGTAGAAAAGAGAGCTTGGTTATGCTTTCGCATCTGCAGTTTGCGGATTATTTAAATTTTTTCTGCAGTGCTTCTCTTGGCCAGATCAAAACTGTTAAAAGAATCTTGAGGGTGTTCGAATTAGCATCGGATATTCAATTGAACCTTTCTAAAAGCAAGCTATTTGGAATCAATGTCGAGGAATCAGTCTTAGAATCTTGGGCAATGATTATCGGGTGTGAGGCAGATTCTTTTCCCTCCACATATCTTGGGCTTCTTTTTGGCCCCAAGAAGAATTCTCTCTGGGAGCCTGTAATTCAGAAATTCCACCCAAGATTAACAAGCTGGAAAGGGAGCAATTTATCGATCACCGGTAGACTCGTTCTTATTGAATCGGTCACTACTACTTTGCCTATATACTTCCTTTCGCTGTTCAGAATGCTGATGCAGGTTCACAAGAAGGCGAATTCCATAAGGGCGAATTTTTTTTTGAAATGACACTAATGAGAGGAGCAGGATTCATTGGATCAAATGGGCTTCCATATGTAATTCTAAGGCAGGAGGTGGCTTGAATATCCTTAATCGTGATCTCCCGAACCGAGCCCTTCTCGGTAAATGGGTCTGGAGATTTGCAAACGAAGGAGATTGCTTGTGGAATGATGTAATCTGCTCAACATATAATATGGAGGCCGGCGTAGTTGGACCTAAGAAACATCCACCTTACTATGCCTACCGGTTATGGAGGGACATTAATAATTCGTTCTTCAAAGAAGATGCAATTGGCTATTGCCTTAGAGAGAATTTTCTGTTGCAGGTGGGTAAGGTAGACTCAATACTGTTCTGATTTGATTGCTGGGGGTGTGATGTTCCATTAAAATCAAATTCCCAAGAATTTTCGTAATCCCTTTTACCCGACCTAGAGGAAAAAAGCTGGATCCAAGAGGACTTTAGACATTAAAATCGTACTCACATTTAATGTAATCAAATACTTAATATATATCCAAAATAAATTTTCGATAATTAAAATGTTATAACGAATATTTATAAACTCCAAAGTTTGAATTACCAAAGTCCAAACAACGATCAAAACCAATATCCAAAAACATACTATACATTGTCCAAATAAAATAATAAAAATATTATCAGAAAACCGAATAAAATGTCATATGGAGAAAATATTGAAAATGAGATAATGTCGAGCTCCAAGTATCGATTGTCCTAACACAAGAACCTGAACGAGAGAAATTAAAGGGTGTAAGCTAACAAGTTTAGTGTGCCTCTCAAGTGCATTCAAACACAATTAACAGCATAGTCCGAAGTAAGAAATAATATTCATACAACCACACATCAACAATAATCTAACTTCAAATGATATATAAATACTCATGTACCCACACATACAATCACACAAGAAGAGAGTGGATTCTCCAGAACCACACGATTGCAACCCACACACCATGTAAGTGAGGTCAACCAAAGGATAAATCAGTTAGAGAATAATTTATAAATCTTAATATTGTATAAAATATAACTTATGGTTTGAGAATGTATAACTTAAGGTTGCTATTGGGAGGGTCTAGTCGAGTACGTCTCTAGTTGGGTAGTAGGTGTGGGGATAGATTTAAGAAAATACCCGCGTGGGCGGGTGTGGATTTAAATTTTTTTACTTATCATGGGTGGTGGACGGGTGGATGATTTAAAAATATTAGGTGAATATAGGAATAGAGGAGGGGGTATCCGTACATGACCCGTCCGTTTGCCATCCCTACGTTGAAGTACCCATAATAGAATGGTATGAAGCGGACGAAGTCAAATAGAGAAGGCAAGTAGGTGCAAAGGAGGAAACCACACATCCGTTAATATTGAAGATATCCAGAAAGGTGAGAAATAGCGAAACGACACATAGTTATCTAAACAAAAGTAAACAAATTTTATGCTCATCAAGTACAATTTTATTTTTAAATTTTAAATATTTATTAACCTCTTTAACAACAACTAGTAAATAAATTTATAATCATTAAAATTGTGTATACTTAAAAATATACTTTTTAGGTTCTCAATTGATTTTCTTCTCGAAATTTTTAATGGTTCTAAAAAAATCAGTTAAATGCTACCTTGATCAATGATGACTCTAATTAGAGAGGTTTAATTAATTGTGATTTTTCAAATAAGAATCCATTTGATCCATAATTAAAAGTGAAAGTTCACTTGACTTTTGAGTATAATTAGAGGGGGCAAATGAATATCTCAGTTATTCATTTTTTTGGAATCATATTACTCGAATATTAAAGCTGGAGATAAGTTAAAATTTACAATCAGAATAAATTGTAAAACAAATTGGTGATATTATTTTCCACACATATGGAGAACTTATACGGGTTTGAACATGGTTATGTGGAAGGCATATCCGTACCGGCCCGACTCTCGACGAACAAAAAATGATGAGAAGAATGAACTTTAACACGCAAAAGGGTACTACTTTGTTTGATTAAAAAGTTTGTTGTTGCCGTTAAAATGTTGAACTTAGAGGGTTTAAGAGATCGGACATCTCATTTTTCCGAATTCAGATATAGATCATTATTCTGTCGATATAAAATCTAGGATATTCGATTTTTCCTTTTGGATTCAATCCGATTCAAAATGCGCAGCCCTTGTTATGGGCACCTATGGCTATGCAGCTCCCGAGTGCATTGCAATAGGTGCTTTATAACTAAAATTTGTTCTTACGAAGGCCACCTAACTGCAGGCTGCGATGTGTATAGTTTCAAGGGTTCCTTTTCTCGAGTCGCTAACCGGCAAGTGAGCATCGGATCAGAACAGACCGTCCGGAAAACATAAGTTAGTTGATTGGGGCAAGCATTACCTTACAAGAAAACACAATTTTCTGAGTCACTGGTGCTCGTACCGAGGGCCAATACACGCATAGAGCGACGTTAAAAGCTGCATATTGATGCAGTATCAAAAGCACCCGAGCAACTTCAAGACTCCGGCGGCGACAAAGGGGGCCATCGGAATGCATCGGTTCATAGTTCTCGTCCGAATATGAGGTATGCTCTCGAGGAAATTATCTACCAACGCTACGCATCTCCATTAAGAACATGAAACCGAAAAGAGTCCGATGCAGTACTTTGATTATATAAAAAAAAATACTTTTATTTCAATTAATTTTCAATCAACGTACAAATTTATTTAATATTGAACAAGGTGATCTTACAATAATAGTATCGATTTTCGTTCTCCGATAACGTCTCTTCATTTCAACCGAGATTTTTAACAACATCTTCGACATTTTCCAACATCTTTTTAAGAATGAGAACTTCGTCGAACTGCTGTTTGTCCGGCAATTGCGCTTCCACACTCGTCAATTCCTTCTCGCATTTCTCGACATTAGCCACGGCAGATTTCATGTTGTATTTCTCCGCATTGCGGTTCTTGATTTCCATGGCCGTGCGGAGCTTGTCGAGTTCCTTCATAGCGGACACGACTTCGTGGTCGCATATTCCGTATTTCGCCTTCACCTCGGGCGTCAACGGTTTAGGACCTTCGAGCACCGTAGTCTTGAGGTTTCGAGACACGTCCGAGGCGTTATTAACGACGATTTTGATAATTATGGACGCGATCACCTCCGGCCTGGCGTTGTCGGGGAGGTATCGGCCGATGTACGATTGCCGGTAGCTGGAGATGCAAAGATCCTTGTGGCGGAGCTTTTCGCAGATTTTGGAGACGTCAGGGGCAGCGTTCAGTGAAGGGAAGAAGGAAAGACAAATGAAGAAAGATAAAAGTAATGCAACATTATTTGCGATGGGATTCATCGTTTTAGACTGTAAATTATTATTATTATTATTTTTTACAATTTCTGGAATTGGAACAGAACTTGAAGGAGGTTGAAGAAGGTAAAATCTTTTTATAGTTTGTGTGTGAAGTTTGTTATTCAATTACTAAAAGATAAATGCGCTTAGCCATTCACCGTGACCCTTAAAATTGGCTATTTGTTGTTACATTTATTTTTATTTTTAAAATTAAAATTTTATTTGTAGATAATAACAGATTGATTAATACCGATTTAGATCCTAAACTAAATAATTTTCACCCTAAAATTTTATAAACAGATTGTAATTAAATATCTCTTCATAAACTTATTCTGATAATATAATTAAGATTACGGTTAAATATGATGTCATTTGACTTAATTACACGAAGGGGACAATTGCCATAAATCATTTAGTTAATTACATCACATGTCCTTAAAATAAGATCATCATTTTAAGTTGATTTTGAAATTTTTAATTGTTTCAATTTCATCCCTAAACATGACCACCGTTCTAAACTCGCACTCAAACTTGAATATTACAATTTTCATCCTCAAACTATGACTTCCATTCTAAATCGGTCTCCAAACTTTTTTAACATTCCAAGTTCATGCTAAACTATATGTATATACTAAGAACACCCCTAACTATGTTATTACCTTTCATTCCCTCAAGATATTTGTATTTGATATCGGTGTTTGTCACGCAAACATGATTATAAGTTGTGCTCTTCGGAAGCTCGAACTTTATTAAAGTTATATAATTTTATTTTCTTTATATATCAACAAGTACCAATGGTCTAGTGGTGGAATAGTACCTGCCACAGTATAGACTCGGGTTTGATCCCCGGCTGGTGCACTTCGTTGAAGCAATGACGACATCTGCGCTCGAGTGAAATCAGGGTTCTTCAAATTCGTCTGATTTCAAGACGACAATTAAGCGCTGCCGAGTTTCAATTTTCTTTTTCAATTATTGACCTTTGATGTAGTCAAGTTGTTCGATCAAATTCCTGAACCAGAAAGTGTGTTCCTTTGGAACACAACGATCAAAGGTTACTCTAGGACTTATTGCCCCAAACATGGTATTTCAATGTATTTAAACATCTTGGGACAGAATGTTAAGCCTGATAATTACACGTCCCCTTTCCTCTTCAAGGGTTTCCACAGAAATGTTGGGTCTTCATGTGGAAAACGTGGCATTGTCATATGGTGAAATTTGGGTTTGGTTCTCTAATGTTTTTGTGCAATATGCTTTGATCCATATGTGTGATTATGACACTAAATACCATTTCTTAAAGCGTGATTATGTGAATTGACCAAATTAAAATTGGGTTCTTAAAAAACATTTACTTTAAGGTGTCTTGCATCCAAAGATAGAAATATGGAACAAGTTTTGATTGAGCCTTTGAGGATATGAAGCATTTAGCAAATTGTTACTCAAACGGCTTCAAAGATAACTTTAAACTTGATACATGCATTCATACATACATACATACGTACACACTCTTAAAGTGAGCCAAAAGATTATAGTACTAGAATAGATTAATACTTGTCAAAACCATACCATTATTACATAAGAGGTTCATAGGGATTCTGATACAAACAGCACAAGTTTTTTTTTTTTTTTGGGGGGGGTTGGCGATGAGTTTCCCTCCATGACTTCGAGACTCTCGAAACAATCTTGCAACTGAAAACCAACCAGCATGTCCTATATGACGATCGGAAATGGTTCGACAGAGTCGTTAACATCGCTTTGCCCGCTGCTTCTCGAGGAACACATCAGTGAGCACAGTTTTGGCCTGCAATGATTCCTTCAGCAACTTCACACTGTGTTTGCAAAAAAAAAAAAGCAAGTTTAAAACAAATGTCTTATTTTCAACAATGAAAGATTCCGACATTCTTTAAATGTCTCCCTTTTTCATGTAGGAAGTAATCGGGATTGTTTCTTACCTCAGCCATTCCTACATCAATGGTTTTCTCTTCAAGAACTCCGATATCCTTGATATCGAACTTATTGAGCAGAGTAATACAAGAAATAGCCGACATGGGCTGTACAACCAGATCATCCATGATCATGCAAGTAATGACCCCTTTGACATACCCTTCCTCATCACTGGATGAATCCTTCTTTTGTGGATTAACAACGGCTGCAATTTGGTCATAAAAGCATTGCAGGAAGGACAAATGGATTTAGAATCGTACGCAACGTAGAGACCGCAGCTTCTTATGTTGTAATTATTCCCACACCTATAAATTTCGATGGTCTTCGAAGAATTGGATATTGGCAACAAGGGAGGCACAGTTGCAGCATTGTTGGAAACTGCAGGCCTCAAAAGGATGTCTTTGTTTACTGCTGGCTGAATGTAGGTATCATTCATTGTCTCGAGGCTGTGGTAAAGGCTTCCGAGGCAGCCCACCATTTCTTGTTTTGTGAAGACCGATACGACGGTCCCGACGGGCAACGACAGAATGTTGAAAAGAAAATCAACAAAATCTTTCCCGGCTTCAGCAAACAGAACCCTTTGGCTCGTCGACTCGGCTAGAAGCTTCAAGCTGATAGTGTTGGCAGCCATGTGAACACAATTGTAAATACTGATTTATCAGATGTTATCGAAAGCAATTGAGGACTAATAAATGGATGGCCTAAACAAATATATAGGCTGCTCTTGTAGAAGTAAATGATTCTTTCCGCTACTCTAAGTCTCATATTGTACCTATTGTAAGTTTATAACATAAAAGTGGGACAAATTCACAAATAACTGTAACTTTTGCAAATTCTTTACTTCAAGAGATGTGTCTTCCTTCTCATTGATGCCCTATGCAATTCCACTTATTACAAAAAAGTTCAGTGTAAGCCAATGTTATTAAGGTGTGTTCAACTAAAATAATATATTAAAGTTTTAATATTTTAAATTAGATAATCAATATCATTAGCGTAGCATCTCGAATTTGAAATTGAACGAATATTTCAAGTTTTAATCTTTTTTCAAGTTTGATTTTTTAGAGTGACTTGCGTCCAACAATTTTAAACTCAAGCCATTCAAGTCGAACTTACGAACAATTTTAAAGATTGAAACATCTTGAGTGAAGCTCCCAATTTCCAAACAACAAATAAACAAATAAAAGTTGATATTAATTCTTCTTCCCCCTAATAGTAACGAATAAAAGATTAGCATTTACACAAGAAATAAGAGCTGAGATTAAGTCATCTTCCGCCTAATACTAACGAATAAAAAAGATTTATATTTTCAAAATGTGATTTCTTTCTCCATAAAGCTAAATGTTAGTGCTTCCTTTCGCCATAAAAGCCTTATAGAGAAAGAAATAAACTGTGAACAATATCAAAAGTGCCGTGTTTCTTGCAGTTCAACCTAGCTACGCCTGCGTCTTTTTATAAGCAATCTTCTGTCTCCAACATTCATTCTTATCTGATGTCGGATACACAATAAAAGGGTGTCAAATGGGTGTTTATTATTACAAGGCCTTTGATAGTTTTAGAGCCAGTATACACATCAATTAATGTTCAAATACGTGTGGGAAGTGTCATAAGTCAATTCCAAATTGCATATTATACATATATGGATCAAACCAAAACTACTATATTCTAAAATGATAATTCAAACAATTCTCATGCTCTTACAAGAAATTTTCTACAATTCTGATGCTCAGTGTTCATTTTGGTTGGAGATTTTCTACAATTCTGATGCTCTGTGTTCATTTCCACAAACCAAAGTCTACATTCATAGGTAGGAGTGAACAAAACTCGACTCGAAAAAATCAAAATTTTTTACTCGATTCGATGCTTAAAAAATTCCAAATTCGAGTCGAGTTATAAAATAAAACTCAAATAATTTGAAATGAATTTATCCCTATCTCTTTGAGCAGGGCTTTCATCTCCCTAAGGTTATAAATCTCTGCACTATCTAGAGGTAAATGATCTAAAAATGGGACCACTTTTATGTTAGAAACTTATAATAGGTACAATATGAGACTTCGAAGTAGCGGAAAGAATCCCTTGTTACTCACTTCAACAAGAGCAGCCATATATTTGCTTAGGCAATCCATTTCCCATTAGTCCTCCATTGCTTTCGATATAGAGCTTAGACTATGCAAACCTTATTATAACATCTGGTAAATCAGTATTTAAAATAGTGTTCCCACCATGGCGGCCAACATGTTAGCTTGAAGCTTCTGTTAGAGTAAACGAGCCCAAGATTTGATTTTCTTTTCAACATTCTGTCATTGCCATGAGCCAAAGATTATATAGTATTGAGATTGGATAACATTTATTATTTCTTGTTTTTAGGATATTCAACTATCATAATAGAATCATCAAGTAAGTTTTCATTTCTTTTACTGTAATTCTTAATAATTACGCCATGAGCTTGATTTGGCTGATTTAATTATCCTATCAAGATCCTTATGTGTTAATTGCTTCCGCATACAAGATTAATTGATTTTAACATTTGGCCTCATAGCCAGGTTTGATAGGAATTAAATCACCAATTTAGGTTTCATAAGAAATTTGGGTATTTTACTTATTAAAGGTTTCATAAGAAATTTGTGAATTTGCTTATTGAAGATTAATTGAAGTTGCAAATTCAAAGTTGATTATGATATTGATGTTAGATTGATTGTTAATTGATAAGGAACAATGATATGATCCCGGTTTGATTGTGAATGACATTGTCGTGGCAAGTAGAGTTAATGACATTGTCGCAGCAAGTAAAGTTGCCAAGACAAGTAGAGTTAATGACGTTGCCGTGACAAGTGAAGTTGTCATGGCAAGAGTAGGATCACATTAAACAATTTTGAATAATGATTTAAATCTTTAATATTTAGTGAGTGTGTTATTCACCAAAGTGACCCACTCGAAATTCATTAAATGATTTATGTTACGTTTATAAATGTTTATTTGACGTAGCATCATAAATGACATTTAAGAATAATAAACATTTATAGTTATTAACATGTAGTTATACGATTACCCAAAGGTAGATCTTACCCGTGGTTAATAACAATTGAAGTAGGTTATGAACTTTGTTAATTAATATATAAGTTACATCCAAAGATGACTTGTATGTTAAAATAAACTTAATGATTGACCTTATATATGTTATAAGCATGATGCATGTTTGAGATTGTTGGTTGTGTTTAGATTTAGCCCAAAGGTGAATTTAAATGCAATGTTTTGGTATATGTTAAAGTCTGAATTGTGGTTTAAATTCAAATAAATTAATATGTAAGATGTAAATGTTTGCAGTGGTCTCTACTATGCCAAATATGATTGTCAATGGTATCAAGTTTATAGGAAGAACTATGATGATTGGATCGAATATGTCAAGCTAAATGATGGCCTTTTGGGACTTGATTTAGCTCTAGTTATGGATGAGCCCACTAAACTGACTAATACTAGTCCGGAGTCAGACAAGAAACTGTGGGAGAACTGGGAGAGATCGAATAGGCTTATGATGAGGTTTCTTAAGCTTAGCATAACTCCTATTATTAAGCCCTCCCAACCCAAGACTGAGAATGTGAGGGAATTTGTGGCTGAAATTAAGAAGTGTACTATGATAGACATTGTGGATAAGTATGTTGTTACTGCTCTTATTGATGATTTATCTAATAAAGTATGATAGACAATCAGCTTAAAAGTTTGGATATGGATCTTGGTGAGAGGGTGTTGGTTGAGTTCATGCTGAAATCATGTAAGGGTGATGATTTCAAGCAATTTCGGAGAACATATAAACAACTTAAGGAAAAATGGTCTCTTTTGGATACTAAGGCCATGCTCTTGCAAGATGAGGTAAGACATTAAGGTTAAACTTCCCCAAGCCAACTTTGCCTATTATAATAATTCAAACGCTGGTTCTAGTGGCGGCAAAGCTCCAAGTAAGAAATGAAAGAACAATGGAAAACAACCATTTAAGGTGTAGCCTGGTAAAGGGAGGGGTTGAAAAGATACTGAAATGTTTCTTTTGAAACAAACCTGGGCACAAGAAGGTTGATTGCCCAAAGAGGAAACCATGGTTTGAAAAAAGAGATATACATTTTGTTTTTGTATGCTTTGAATCAAATCTGATTGAGGCACCTTCTAATACTCGGTGGCTTGATACTGGTGTAACCACCCATGTTTCTAATGTTATGCAGGGTTACCCAAATATCCACCGAATGTCAAAAAGTGAAAGCTTTCTATTTATGGGAAACACGATGAAGATTAGAATTAAAGGTGTAGAAACATATAGAATTGTGTTAGATATGGGTTATTGCCTTGATCTAGAGAAGTGTCTATATGTTCCAGATTACTTTAGAAATCTTGTTTCTGTTTCTAGGTTGGATGTTTTAGGATTTGATTTTAAGATTGGACATGATTTTTTTTCATTGTATCATGAAACAAACCTTTGTGGTACTGGTTTATTGTCATATACTTTGTATTGTTTCAATCTAAATTTTACTTTTGTTCATTCTCTGTTTTAATGTTGATGTTGAATGTGATGTTGGTATGAAAAATGAATGCACTCAATGAATCTTCTACCGACTTGTGGCATAAAAGACTCGGTCATATATCCAAAGAAAGGATTTTGAGGCTAATTGAAAGTGGACTTTTGTCTTTATTGGATTTTACCGATTGGAATGAAACTTGTGTAGATTGAATTAAGGGTAAGCAAACCAAACATGTATCAAAACAGGATGTATCATCTTGATTTAATACACACAAATAGTTGTGGTCCTTTCGATGTACCATTTTAGGGCGGTGAGAGGTATTTTATCACCTTTATTGATGATTACTTGTCACACCATAATTTAGGGGCTAGATTTTATTAATTTAAGTAAATTTAAATGACTAAATTGTAAGTTCTAGAAACTTGTAGCTCAGTTTTAAAACTCTAAGAAGTTTAGGGACTTAATCCTATATTTTCCCATTTTCCTTAACAGTGAAAATAAACCCCCCGTTTGAGCAAGCCAACCAGAAAATAAAAAAAAACCAATCCCTAATTCCCCCCATCTTCCTTCATAAAATCTATCACCGTCCGACCTCCATAGCTGTCATTGCCACCTCTATCCAAACCGCTATCTCGTTCTACTCAAAACCCCTCAAACCCTTCTTTACTACGCCTAATATTGTAAATTTCGACACAAAGTTTCTTCGATTCTAACCCCCGCCACCATGGATTTCCTTGATTTTTGGCTGATCCAGCGACCAACGTACCTCACCTCTTACCATTGCGTTCACTGGTGTTGTGTAACCAAAACCTGGTCAGATTGGTCCCTCATCATTGCGTCGTTGTCAACCGCCGTTGGGGTAAGTTTCAAATATTTTCGATTAATTTAAGTTGTTTTGGGTTGGTTAAATGGTTGATGTTGAATATTTTAAGTGTATTGTTACTCAGGGGAGAATCAGCCGTTAAAAAGGGCCCCCGTCATCGCCGCAAGTGCTGCCATGAGCCGACAGTGCGCGTGGGATTCGCCTGCCGATCTAGGAAGCTTCTGGAAATGGTCTGGACCAGCTCGAACCGGTCCAACCCGGTCTGAACCAGGTCTGTTTGATCCGAACTGAGTCAACCCGACCCGA